GTGGACCCACCCTTCCCGGGCGCCTGCGCGTCTCCTCGTTACGTTCCAACGATCAACCCCCCTCTCGGCCACCCTCCTCCTCTCCTGCGAGGAGGAACGTCAACGAAGCGACCGAGCTTGAACCATCGAAGGAAGGGACGAAAACGGATACGCAGACGCATCTGTCCTGTCCGAATAAAGGGTGGAAAGGATATAGGGGGATGTCGGGAGCAAAATGGCGAACCATTTCGTGGAAATGGTTTCCTCCTTAGGAATTTTTAATGCCTCGGGGATATGGAATTATGAAATCGACGTTTCGATTGAAATTTAAGTTTGAACGTTGTTTCGTTCACCGATGATGAAATATTTGATTCTTTTCCCGGTATATATAGATATAATCTTTTTCTTCTCGAATTGTTGAAACACATAGCGAGGATGATGATTTGTGCGATGATTTTATTGAGATCCATCGTTATCGATGATATTAATAAATAAAATACTAATTGATAATTATTATTATTATTAATTTTCGCATGGGATAGGAACAAACTTGGTTCAAACTTGGTTCAATTAAGTAAATAGCGGGTAAACATCATTTTAAATTAAGATGTCGAAATTAAAACGTCGAAGAATTTTGTATAAATGGCGAAATTTTAGGGGAAGGGTTAATAAGATCGTTCCGATGTTTATTTTACCATGGTTTCCGCTCGAATCGATCTCAAAGAAGGGGGAGGGTGCTTGCAAATCGAGTATTTGTCGAAAAAGCTAGCCACCGTCGAGGGTAGAGGGTATAATCTAGGGAGAGATCCGTCGTTGAGCTGATGGATTAGAGGATGGCGTGCACGACCCGTCCAATCGTGCCACCTTTGATTCGTGTTATTTAATTCTAATCAAACCCGGGACTCGCATTTGTCCTTCCCTACGAAACCAAGCGCGATACAGTTTCTTGGTAATGGTATAAGTAGCTTTTAAATTCGTTTCTTGGTAATAGTATAAACAGCTTAGCTGGAATTAGAGTTTAGAATTCTCGATGAAAGTTTGATCCCTATCCAAGGTCGCGTCACTCTTCTGGAAAATGCGATTCGAAGAGAGAGAGAGCCGATAAACGGAGGAGGAAATTCAACAAATTCTCTCACTACTCTTCTGGATAATACTCGATAATACGTAGAGATTGGAGGAGATTGGAGAAATTTAATTGCCACGAAGCAAACTTTGTTCCCTGTTCATAGTACTCGCCTCGAAGAATCGTAGAATCCCTTTTCAGCAAATTTTTTTCCATTTTTGAATAATCGTTCCAGTCGTTGATAAGATCGATCGTTGATAAAATTAGGTTTGTAAATATTGTGGAATGGAAGAAAATGAGAAAAATTGTGTCGAGTCTACGTGTACATGTGTATACATATATATATACGTGCGTGGTTGTAAGTTGGTGGTAAATTGAATTTTCAGAATAATCGAGAAGAGTGCTTATTACTCGAGATCTGATTAGTGGATCGAAGGATTCGCATGAAGGATCCTTCCATCAAATAAAGCAACTATTTCGAGGTTACTAATTATTAGTAGGAGAGTTACGATCTATGGTTCCGTGATAACCGGTTGTTGTGGTAAACGTAATTAAAATAATCGTCAGATGCGAACCGACCATTGTGAGAAAACCGTGTGGTCCAAATTTAGTAATGGCCAGCAGCGCGGCAACTGTAATTCAAATTTAATGGGAATCAATTACCATGGGAGTTACGAATAAGCTGATTAAGATGATAGTTAATTGCCGCAACAAAGTAAAATTCAAATTAAGAATCCCCTCACCTTCTTACAACTCCGTACAAAACGGAGTGTTTTACCGTCTTACCTCTCAAAGAAGAAGAAGAAGAAGAAGAAGAAGAAGAAAACAAAGTATCACGTTTTACGATCCGATACTCTCAATCGTGTCTTATATAATAAATAATAAAAATTACTTCTACTTTGAAAAACAAATTTGCAAAGTCTAATTTTTTTTTCTCTTCGTTCTCGGATACATCCAGAAGAAGAGATAAAACGTGCCTGGCACGCACTTTTTATCGGAATTCTATCCGATCCGAAATAAGAAACTCGAGGAATCGGTCAGAACGGGATGACAATGAGGGACAATTACGTTCTAATTGCCGGCATTGTCGCATCGGTTTCGTTCTCGAGTTTCAAAACGCGTTGCAAATGCAGTGTCTGCCGCGCAAAGTGCACGGTTTACGTTGCTTTCTTCCCACGGTGCGCCGGAACAAAAGTCGGTTACGTAAACGCGTGTCTCTCCATTCATCGACTCCCTCCGTGACGTTATTTAGCGAAATCTGTCATTTATTTTTTCTTTTTTTTTCCCCCTCTCCATCTTTTCTATTTTTTTTTTCCTACGCTTGTCATCGTGACAAGTCGATCGAATCGGCGGCAACGATAACGCGATCGGTTTCACGATTCGTATTGTTTCGCCGAGACACACAAGTCCACGCTTCGATGAACAGAATCGAGAGCGACATTACGTTGTAATATTTTCGTTTAACAAGGCAACGCGTGCATTCGTGATGGAAAATGTCAGGCGCGCTTGAAAGATCTTTTTTTTTTTTATTTTGTTATTTCTGTTATTTTCTGTTCATTTCGGTTAAGACGAGAAGGGGAGAAAGATCGATCAAGATACGATCTTATTGTATACGCGCACGATAGACGGTTTTTTCTTTGAATGGAAAAATATACAAGTCTGGCAGTGGCGTATCAAATTGGGAATTCGAATGCTCTTCCAAGTTTCACCGGATTACCCCGCTCGTCGTTAGTCTTAACGATAGCAATTAGTGTCATCAAATTGCACCGAGTCGTCCGCGGATATCCTTGACGAGTTCCTTGAATGCGTCGGTAATCTTGTCCCGAGAATTTCGTTTCCTCTTCCCTTTCTACCGAATCGAATCGTTCTCTCTCTCTCTCTCTCGCGACAAAACAAATCCTCTCGTTCCAACTCGTTTTGATCGCTGAAGTATACTGTTTCAAAATTTCAAACGACACTCCCTTCCTAGTCTCATTCCAATAATCTCAATGCGTGATTTTCTTAAAGTTACGATATCCAAATTATCGAATTTGCTTCTCGATATTTGAGAAAAGTCGATGAAAGAAAGAAGCTTCCCTTACACTTATCCAGAAACATTTCGTGAAAATCATGAAAGGAAGAAACAAAATTGGTTTCTTGGCGTCGAGAAAAAGAAATTTCCTTCCAGTAATATAAAAATCTAGGAAATCGTTGGAAGGAAGGAAAGTGTGTGTAGAGGCGAAAGAAGGACACCGCGGCCCACGTGGCACTCCTTTCCTCCCATCCCAATAATTAACCGTGTTTTGCACGGCGGGGAAGGCGCGAGCAGCCGCGAAAGAACAAAAGACGGGAGGGTCCTTAATGGTATCTGAATGAGGCTATTCCTCGAGGACCTCGGCCCGTTCGTCCCGGATAATGGATTCGGTGTCATCTAATAATTAATAGAGTTCTCTCTCGGTGCTGCCCATTCCGCGCCCGTACGCCACGGCCGCCAATCTCATTCATCACGCTTTCTAACCCCTAAGCATTTTAATTAAGGCCATCGCCGTTTTTCCTTCCATTCCCTCTTTCCATTCCTTTCCTTCCTTCCTTCCTTCCTTCCTATTTCCACGCGCCTCTCTTCCCCCCCCTCCCTTTTTTCCTCCTCTCGTTGCGATTCGCCCGCGTAAATATCACGTCGAAACGATCTAAAGGGAGAGGCCTCGAAGGAAGAGAATAGGTAAAGTGTGGTCGAGTCGAAGTCTCCTTGAGAGAGATTTCTTTTGATTGAAATTGAACGATGGAATAATATATATATATATATATATATATATAGAGAGAGAGAGAGAAAGAGAGAGTAGTGAAAAATGTTATGTTTGTACGATACGAGTATCGTGTATCATAATTTATAAGATAAAAATTACAGTTATTTCGAGTTGTGAAAGATGCGATGGTGATAAAAGTTTCGTTTAAAAAGGTATACATATAAATTTTATTTTAAGTATCGAGAAGTGGTGTTGGGCCATTTAAATCGTTTACCTGGAGCGCAAAAACGTCACACGATTCCATATTTGTTGGCAACGGAATCTCAATTCCACGGTAAACGGTTCAATTAAACGAGCGATTCGGTAACCTTGTATTTACGTATTTTAAACGTAGAGACGAGCATCGACGTCTCATTCCGTGGAGTATGAATCCGTTGGCAACAATCTATCTACGAGATTTCTTTCTTTTTCTTTCCCTTTCGATTCTGTTAAATACGAATCGTTCGCATTCGTAAATTTTGCCAATTCGTTTTTTCCTCGCACAAGCGTTTTCCTCCTTTCCTTTCGATGCTTCTCGATCGTGTTATAAATTGCACGAACGAGCGAAATACACCGGCTACGCCAATGATCGGACCACCACGTGGTCCGGTAGTCGGCTCCTACACTCGTCATAATTACAATTCATGCATTTTATGCCCCGGATAAAGTTGAGAAAGGGAGCCGAGAAAAAAGGGTGACGAGGAGGAGAAGTGCGTAAGAGAGAAAACGGTGGAAAGAAAGAGGGAAAAAAGGAATGGAGAAATACTTTGTAATAACTATACTTATCCCGAAGAATTCGAAATCGTTGAGCGGGCATATCGGTCCGCAGGGTTTCCTCGCGTGTCAATCAACCCTCGAACAGTGGTCGCCTTTAATTATCGAGATCGTTCGCTTCGTAGGCCGCCTGTTGTTCGATCCTCTCGAAGGTGGCCGAGGAATTCCTGTAACCAGATTTCGAAGGTTTTTTGGAACGATTATCTCCGTTTCTTTTTTTTTTTTTTTACTTTTCTTTCCCCTCTATTCTTTCTTTCTTCTTCCTTTTTTCTTTTTATCTCGAAAACTTTTTATCCAAAACTTATTTTCGAAAGGATGACGTAAACGGCGTGTCTCCCTTTGATCTTACAGCTTGAAACCACCGCAGAAGGACGGGGTGACAAAATCGAATCCCAGCAAGCGACATCGGGAGCGATTGAACGCCGAGTTGGACACTTTGGCCTCGTTGCTCCCGTTCGAGCAAAATATCCTCAGCAAGCTGGACAGACTCAGCATCCTCAGACTCAGCGTCAGCTACCTTCGGACGAAGAGCTATTTTCAAGGTAGGTCTTCCCCCATACATTTTCGTCCAGATGGCGGATTAAAATCGTGCGATTTTCGAATTAGTTAAATTTTAGACACATCGAAATTGAAAGAATTGGGGAATGGGGATGGTTATATATGTTATCGATATATTATCAGAGAAGCGAGATAAACGCGGTTGCGCGTCCAGGGGCATTAGCATCCTCTGGAATCGTGGACACGCGATGCTGTCGTTACTCTGTCTCCCGGGGAAACAATAAGATTCAAAAACAATGGGCGGCGGTTGTTCCGCGATACGGCAATTCGTCGGTTCACCGTCAAACTTCTCCGAGGCAACCATTGTGATCCACGCGTTTGTTGGATCCACTATTGTTGGATCATCGTGTGCCATTGTGCAAGATGTTGCGGAGGAAGTGGTCTCGCTATGCAGATGCATGCTTCTGTTATTTTCTTTTCTTTTTTCTTTTTTTTTTTTTCACGGCAAAAAGGAAGAACAACGATTCTTCCATTAATTTAATTTTTCCTACGATTAGATTAAAATTATGGAAATTACGTTATCGAACCGTATTCCTTCTTTATTTGAGAAGCGGAACGACACTCCGATGGGGAAGATCGAGATCTGGAAATTTACGTAGGTAAATTGTAGAGAAGGAATTTCTTAAAGATCATAAAGTTACATACCGTAATCTTTATGATTTCTATTTATATTTTATTTCCTTTTCTTTATTAACGCGTCGTAGATGGCAATCTGCAAACTTCATCCTTCCTAATTAATAATTTATAGTAAATTATATATAATATAATTATATATAATAATCTCTAATATATGTCAATAATTATAATTCGCGCACTTAATCAATCCTGAATTTTCGAGTCGCAGGAACGGTCGATCTCTCGAGTAGCACGCGAGGCGAGAATGGGCGAAGGGAGAAGATCTCGTATCGCCGTTCGCCGTTTAATTAAAGAAAAATTACACATTTACCCTTTAATTATTCATCACCGAATAATTCGTCCAATTAATCTTAATTGGAAACGATATTTCATACTTTCGTGCATTCGTCGAAACATCCATCATTCTCGTTTCTAATCAGATATGGAACCGCTTTTGATGTTGTTAAAGTATAATATCGTAATACGAGGAATAGGAATAGCAACGAATCGTAAAAAAAGGAAAAAAAAAAAAAGGGAAAAAATGGCGAGAGTTACGAGCGAGTTACGGGTTACGTTAAAGTGGCCGGCTAAACGGAGTTAAACGGGGAGGAAAAATTTCCATATCGATTTCGAACGGTTCCCGGATAGACGAAAAAGCGTGGAGGGACGGGACGAGGGGAGGGTTTGCCAATCAATAGCCTGAAAATCCGTCGTAAAAAGATAAGCCCGGGTTATTACGAGAAACTCGCGGCGCTCATTTGCCGGAAGGTTGTAATTTCTGTACGAAAGAAGAGTTTATAATCCGTTCGTGACGCGGAATCGTAACATTGGCTGGCCCATTTGCATTGCTTATTCATAATTAGTCAAGATATCGGCGCGGCTGTGACATTTTTAAATTTTAGGTCAGATACCGTGTTACAACGAACGATATCAAAAAGTTTCTGTATCCGGTTTAATAATTTTCGAATTTTCGATCCTCTCGCGCCTCCTCGATTCCGTTTCCACCGGTTTCCTCGGATTTTTCCTGTTCCACTCTCCATTCGTTCCATTCGATCGAGTTTGAGCGTACGTAATAATAATAATAGTTTTAATCTCGGGCCCGCGAGATAAATCGTTTTCGCATCAACGTGACCCAATTTTCGATTTTCACCGCGGGATCGCGGGTGGCGTGACTGTTTAAGATTACGATATTCAAGGTTAGCCAAGCTTATCGCTTTGTATTTGAGAAAAAGTTGGCGGGTTTAACAAGAGCAAGGGCAGCCGTCGAGTATACATCCTTCGGTAAATAAATAATCGGTTAAAATAGTTTAATTTTCTCTGTCCGAATAAAGAGAAGAAGTGGAAAGAAAAATTATCGTGGTCGTGGAATAAAAATGGAGGAAAGAAGATGAGAGAGGTGGACGGGAGGATTGGAAAGGAGAGAGGGATAGAATTATGCAACTGCAATCGGTGGTGGTGCTCCCTGCGCCACGGGTGTGCAATCTCATCTGCAATCGCAATCAGGTGGGGGCCAATCGAAGAATCGGCGCGGAATAATGGGTAGACGTTCCTCTTTCTTCCTTTCGTCCATTATCTTCCTCCCCCGGTCTTCGAGAAGGCAACTCTCCAATCTCTCACGACGAACGTGCGCGGCCTCTAAGTGTGCCCACACGAAACCCTCGTAATGCGGCTTCTACACTTTTATCGATTTAACGCCGTTAAGTACTGGCGAACGAAACCCCTCCTCGCCGCGAGGAAAGCCCCGATGATAACCCGGTGTCCTGAACGCTTCTTTTCCTTCTCTCTTTATCCCTCCTCGATCACGCCTTTTCCTTCCTTTTTCATCCCAGCCTCGCGATTCGCCTTGATCAATTTCTTCGATCGTATCTCCATCGACAAAATTCGCTGCTGGAAAACGTAGAAACGTAGAAATTTCTTCCAACTGATCGAACAACGTTCACTCGACCCGATTTCACCCGCATACGTATGAAACGTTGAACAGGAATAATGCATTCGATAGAATTCGTTGGCAAGATTTTCAAAACTCTTCCTCGTTGCTAATAAAATTTTCGAGGAAAGGAAAAACGAAATGGCGGGCTAGTGGAAAGGAGAGCGACGCGTGGGTCGCGGCGTATGTAATGGACACGGATCCGGGGCGAGAGAATGCGAGTGGCGAGAGGGTGGAAGGAATGCGACACGTTGCGTTGGTGTACGGGAGAGGACGACGTGCCGATATCGCGGATCTCGCAGTATATCACGCGCGGGCCGCAAGAGAGGTTGGCCGGCCTCTACTTAGCGCTCTTGTTGCCACCGATCCCCACGGCCCAACCCCGGCCATTGTTCACACCGTTTTAATAGGTATTCATTGTCGGCCCTCGGATCTTTTCCGAAGACTCCCGGCCGAGTGTCGCGCCCGATGCCCCGATACCTGGGAGTTCTTGCGCGTTACCCCGCTCACCTGACCATCCCTCCCCTCCCCTCTTCTCTCTCTCTTCCCACGCCGGAGGCTAATTGCGAAAAATTCGAAAACGAAGAAATCCTCGCGATTCAAGGAATCGAAAGGATTCGACTCGATTATTTTATCATATTCGTATTTATACTCAAGAAGATGTTGTTAGAATCGAGTAACAAGAGTTACTCTAGGCTGTAATTATATTCACTAATGTAAATGTATGTACGTAAGTAATGTGCGACTTGTCCTCTCAGCTGGTGCTCGAGAAAAATGGTCGCTTTGACGGTGTTTATTGAAAAGAAAAATTGACGAGTAATAGGAAGAGGAAAATATCGATGGATACGTTTCGATTCGAGCTCCTGTGCCCCTGCACGATGATGCATCGAAACGCGTATATTCCACGAATACGTCAACACCAGCCTGTAAATTTCGTTTGAACGAGAGAGAATGCGTATCGAGCGGGTAAAGACGCCGGTTCCCAGGAAACGGTGCGCTATCGTCCATTTCCCACACTTGGATTCCTAAGTGGTAAGTCTACCAGCACTAGGAGAGGAAAAAGGAGGATCGTCCCCCTATGTAAATTAATTAGCCTGCCGGTAAACGCGCCGATTTTTCAAACGGGCACGTGGTCGGTGCGCCTCCTCGCCTGAGCCTCGGTTAGCTGGCAACAACAAGGAGGCGAGGGAAGGGGAAGGAGGGGGAGAAAGAAGTAGAAGAAAAATACAAAAGGGAGGAGAAGTGGACGAAGAAGAAGAAGAAGAAGAAGAAGAAAAGGAAGAGGTGGCGAACGTTGCAGGAGATTCAGATAGCGGATCGTTCGGGGTTGCGCCTCTTTCGCTTTTTTATTCGACGCTCGCCGTTCTTCTCTCTCTCTCTCTCTCTCCCTTCCCCGTTCTTCGTCAGTAGATCCCATAAAAGGTCCAAAGCGACGAGTCTCGGTAATTAACCTCCTCCGCGCCGCTTTTTCTCTCCTCCTCTCTAACGCCCTCCTTGACGGCCCAATCTCGATCCCTCCTCGCCTCGATGACAAGTTTTCTAAAGTTCGAGTTCTTCGAGGAGAAAGATAATGTTGGTTTCTTTGTTTCACCCGTGCTGAGGATGGAATGTTCTTTCGTTCGAAAAATCAACGATCCGCAACGAATGACAAATTTTCCAAAGTTCGAGCTAGTTAGAAGAAAGTTTGTTTCACCGATGATGGAAGGAAAG